TCGCCCCTAAAACCCTTCAGCGCACTTCGTTTAGATATAGATTTTGATCCTTGGGCTATCACCTACCTTCTGTTAAAATTTCAACTCAATCCATGCAGGACGAAAAAATTGAGAAGTTTTAACTTTTTTCGAGCTTCATTTCCTGAACAATTATCGCTTCCCTTACGCAAATAACATTGTTGCGAGACAGATAGTTGAACGATATTTTATACAATGTCTATACCCAGGTATGGATTTATTTTTGTCCAAGTTTTATAGTGGTCCACTATTTCAAATGCAGTTCAAACAGACATATATTAAATTGTATGATCCATTTTAAATTCGTTCAATCTGTATATATATATATATATATATATATATATATATATATATATATATATATATATATATATATATATATATATATATATATATATATATATATATATATATATATATATATATATATATATATATATATATATATATATATATATATATATATATATATATATATATATATATATATATATATATATATATATCGTACATCTAGTTCAATACTGCCACAACTCCAAAAATTCCAATTTTGAGTTAAGGCTTTAAAAAGGTTGCATATATGATACCCCATCTAATGCAATACAACCTTAACTGAAATATTGTCTTGGATAAGTATAAAGTAAGATATTTCGGTATTACACTATAGGGTTTTGAAATGCAATATAGCCATAACTAGTAGATGTGGCGATGTTACACTCCGCCACAATACAACCGATGTAATTCAATACGGCCACAACTGCAAAAATTTTTAGATTAGTGGTACAATTTTATCAGTTCTCAATTATTTATGCACGAGGTATCCGCGTTTTTAGTGTACAACTATTTGATTTAAGGTCTGAAAACAGTGTATAGTGATATTATTATTAACTTGGGCAAGAAAAATGCTTGGACTAGCTTTGCAAAGCTATCTTAAAGATGATGAGAATCTGAGAGACAATTCAGAGGTTTCTGAGGTTATGAATGACATCTCCTTTGTGTTGACGGAGGTTTGTATTTCAACAAAAATCACAGTGAGGTTTTACTTAATGTATGTAAATTTTTTAGCTTACTCCGGTTGCGTTACCCGTGCAATCAAATCATACGGCAAATAAATTTGAATATCAAGAAAATCTACATACAGACCCTCGCCAAGATGATTACATAGAGCAGGTATATTTTTATGAAACGAGAAACGGTTACTGGACCGGTGAAAAATAAAATAAGAGAACACATAAATTCTTTCCAAAGGGTAGAATCACATTATCTTAGAGCACAAACTACAAAGGAATACATAGATGGTTCACTTACTTTAGCTCAAATGTATCGCTACTACACACTACAGGAAGAGAGTGAAGGAAGGCCTGTGGCTAAAAAATGCACTTACGAGCATATTTTCAAAACTGAGTTTAACATAACTTTCTTTCAGCCAAAAAAAGATCAGTGCGCAATTTGTGAATCATATAAAAATTCTTCTGCTGAACAGCAAGCTACTCTTCATCAAACTTATAATAAATATATACATAATAAAATTAGAAGCAGAGAAGAAAAAGTACAAGATCTAGCAAGAGCAAAAGATGATTCTCAAGTATTGGTAGCTTGTTTTGATTTGCAGGCGATCTTTCCTACACCTTGTGGAGATGTTTCAAGCTTCTACTATAAATGCCGCCTGAACTGCTTCAACTTTAAAATTTTTTAGATATTGCAAAAGACTGGTTACTGTCACTTTTGGCACGAGGCTATTGCTAACCGCGGCTCAAACGAAATAGCTACGTGTCTGTTTGATTATCTTTCAAATCATTGTAATGATAAAGACGTTATATTTTATAGTGACAATTGTGTTGGGCAAAATAAAAATAAATTTATAGTTACCATGTATCTCTATGCATATTGGAAAAATTAATGTTTAATCAATCACACATAAATTTTTAACAGTGGGACATACCCAAAATAAAGGGGACGCCATGCACGCAACTATTGAGAGGCAAAATAAGAAAATACTTAAAACAGGTCCCATTTATGTTCCTGCACAATGGCCTATCATCATTAAGTCTGCAAAAAAGAGGGAAATCCTTACAATGTAAAAGAAATGTCAACAGAAGACTGTTATGACTTTAAAGATCTCAATTCAAAAATTTGAGGAAATTTTACAAAGAATACAAAAGATGAAAAGGTAGTCTGGAATGATATCCAAGTTATTAAAGTTGCAAAAGCAATCCTGGATCTTTCTTCTATAAAACAGATTATAATGCCGATGAGTTCGAAGAGGTCCATTTTAAAGCATCGACAAGGGGGCGTTCAGCAACTGTGGAACCAGTAATCGATTTAAAAAGGCGTACATAAAGCCTCCATCGATATCCGCAAAAACCAAGCAACACCTTTTGGAACTGTGCAATAAAAACTTAATATTACCTGTTCATCACAATTTTTATAAGGACTTGGTTAATAGTAATTAAAAAAAATGTTCATACACACTTGTAATAATAATAATAAAAATATTTTTTGTAAGAACTAGTTAATTTTTTTTATTATGTTGCCGCCGTATCTCCTATTTATCGTTTTATAAATGACTTTCTTCACAATGCAATATTGCCATAACTATCAAAATACAATTAACGTTTTATTTTTAATAAATTGTAATAAGATCCAGCGAATAACTGTATAATTTGCTAACTAAATTGTAATTTTGAAGCCAGTCATTCTAAAAATAAATTATTTACAAGGCATAACTCGTTTGCTACAGAACGTCTTGCTCATTTCTCGAAATTATTATATTTTGGACTTGTGGCACTATTGAACTAGGTGTGCGATATATATATATATATATATATAAATATGTATATATATATATGTATATATATATATATATATATATATATATATATACATATATATATATATATATATATATATATATATATATATATATATATATATATATATATATATATATATATATATATATATAAGAGACTCTCTGATAGCAAATTAAGTGAACCGCAAATTCAAAGCCTCTTGCTAGAGGCTTTCAACGACGCTAGAAGTACATTTTTACTTCGACATGCATCTACGATTCACCATTGAAATTTACCATCTTTTTTCACTCTTTACGTAGAGAAAGACGTTTAAATGAAAGTAAAAGATTGCATTTCATTTCGATCGGAACTTCACCATAGCCCACCATGAACTTCCGATCGAAATGAAATGCAATCTTTTACTTTCATTTAAACGTCTTTCTCTACGTAAAGAGTGAAAAAATATGGTAAATTTCAATGGTGAATCGTAGATGCATGTCGAAGTAAAAATGCACTTCTAGCGTCGTTGAAAGCCTCTAGCAAGAGGCTTTGAATTTGCGGTTCACTTAATTTGCTATCAGAGAGTCTCTTGACTTCTCGTTATTTCATACAGATGTCGCTGCTAGCGTAACCTGGTTATTATTTTAGTTATAATGGCCAACTACTAGACTGCATTTCATTTCGGTTGAACTTCCACAAGAGCTCCTGACGATGGGTTGAATAACCCGAAACACGTGTCGGGCTATGGTGAAGTTCCGATCGAAATGAAATGCAATCTTTTACTTTCATATATATATATATATATATATATATATATATATACATATATATATATATATATATATATATATATATATATATATATATATGTATATATATATATATATATATATATATATTATATATATATTTAAGTATAACATTTTTCAAAGTAAAACACTCGCACGTCACGATTTATACAAAGAGACGTCACTTGTATTAAAATTTCCAGAACATCAACCTTGACTTCAAATTTTCCTAACATAGCTAATAATACGAAACCCATACGGAACTACTCGATCTTTACTAGGCGTCAACATGGTTTAATAATCAGAAAAATGTAATTATCATTATATAGGAAATTTTATAATTATATTTATTAAATAACCAAAAAGATTTGTTATTATTAATAATATAAATTTTATGAAATAACTCTTTATGTCTATTATTTCACAAAATAATAATGTACGCAACTGACACGGAAATAATTCAAATTTTATTGACAGTTAAGCGTGTTTCAAAAGTGTATAAAGTGTTGGCGCTTTTTTAGAGGTAGGAATTTTGTTTATGTTTTGATTTCTTACACAATTTGATCATACTAATAAATTGTATTTATAAATACATAGTAAATTTAGATTAATAGCTTTAAAAACTAATTATTGTTGTGTATTGTGATTGTGCTATGCCACAACAAATAAATAGTCTGTAGAAAGCTGACAAGGTTTTATGTAAGATAGATTATTTTGAACAAGAAATAATGGCGAGACGTTTTTACTATTGAAACCCTAAAGAGGTAAGTTTAAAATTTAGAATATATAATTTTGTATTAAAATGTTTTCTTATGTATTTTAATCTGTTGCACCAGTCTTAGGACTAAGTGTATTTACTGTTAATATAATAGTTTGAAAAATAGTTGACATTTTAAAAATTTCTCACGTGCAAGCTTTTTCTATATGAAAAATGCTATATTTTAAATATGTGTTTTGTAAATGAACGTTTTTAAAACAAAAAAAATGTTTTGGATAGTTTTTCGATATGATTTATGAGATTCAGATGAGTTGTCCATTTCAATTTATAAACACCATGACAACTAACCTCAATTAGTGTAAGACAAAATACTTTTTTATTCTGTAATTTGTACTAATTTTGTTTATATTAGCATCCTGATGATGCAAATAAAGATTTGCGAAAGCTTGATAGATTAAAAAGAGTACCTCTTTGTTCTATCTTCCGCTGCATACTCAAATAATTGTACTTGTTGTTGTTGTTGTATATATATATATATATATATATATATATATATATATATATATATATATATATATATATATATATATATTTATATATATATATATATATATATATATATATATATATATATATATATGTATACATAAATAATAAGGGTAGCGATATTCTTAGTTATCTTACCCTCATTCCTTTCTCTCCGGGTACTACTGGTTGACAAAAGTAGTCATAGTCTGTTGCCCAACCTCCTTGTAATCCCTAAAATGTAAAAACATGACGTGTGAATAAGTTGATGCTAATTTTTCATATATCTTTAATTTCAACAATTACTCAATTCAAATGAGAATACTTTTCAAACTGTAAACCCACTCTGTTGTGCCTCAATGCAACCTGTAACCCCTGGATATTGCGAGAGAGTTATGAGTGGTAGAAGAAAAGTCGCAGTATTTTTACGGACTAACAAATATGTCCACTATGGCGAACTAACAAATATGACCACTGTCCCAAAGTTGGTGGCTGGAAATAGTATCTGTCATCATGTAAAAGGCAGCTGCAATCAAAACAAGAAAACCCAAAAGGAAAATGAATTTTTGTAGTTGGCTGTATACCATGAATCACAAAATTTTGTATTTAAAATAAAATCTTTTGTAAAAGGTATATTAATGAAAAAATCCTACCGGGTTATATTACAGAACGTTTTTGGAGTGACTATTCCATCATCAGTGCTTTGCATTGACATGCGTTTACACTTTATAGTCTTTAATGAAATAGGTTGAGGAGGGGAGAACTGTTTGTCTCTAGTTGGTGATTCAGAATTATATCTGTGTTTTCTAATTTGTTGATTTTCATAGATTTTCATGAATGGGTAACTGGAACAGAAAGCCAAACATAGAAGCTTCAAAGTAGGAAATCGATAAATATATGGACATAAAATAGTAGAGGTCTCCTCAAAACTGGAAAACTTCACATGGTAGACAAAGAGCTATTAAGGCAAAATATAAATGTGTGTGATTTAGCAAAAACACACTAAAGAGATCAGTGACATTTTAAAACAAAAAAGCACCACGCTTTCTAAATATCAGTATCTGAAACACAACATATAATGGAGTAGCCATATTTATAAACAATAAAATATGTAAATATGTCAGACAATATAAAACAATAAACGATGGACGCATAAGAATAACATAAAAAGCAAACCAGAAAGTTTTCATATTATTCAGGTATGTAGGCCGACAACAGTCACTTCAGATGAAGACGTTTATGACATTTACAATAACATAACAACAGCATAAAAAACATCTTTAAGACATTCCCACAAAAAGAGCCAGTATATATAATTGGAAAATTTAACTCCAAGATAGAAAAAACTGAAAATAAACCACATTTTGTGACCAATTGTCGGGCCATTTGGTTTAGGCATTGGAAACCACAGAGGAGAACGTCTTCTACAGTTTGTTAGTGAAAACAATCTAGTTATAATAAATACACTTTATAAACACCACCCAAGAAGGCTCTCAACATGAACTAATCAAAGTAAAGAACACAAAAATGAAATCGACTACATACTTATACGGAAAAGATAAAAAACCGTGGTAATAAATTTAACTAAAAATAAATTGCAGCCTCAATCTACACACAACAAGAAAAATACATTAAACAAAACAGCTAATGGTAAATAATGCACAAAAATTCCAGATGAACCTGAAGATGTGGAAAAGGCTATAACCAATTACGAAACAAAAAAAATCCAGATACAGATTGCATACTAGCTAAGACTCCAAAAGCAATGTGTGAGATTGGCGTAGACGTAATAGTGGATATGTGCAGCATCATATGGATCACAGGTGTATGGCTTGATGAGTGGTGCAAATATTCCTATCTATAAAAAAGAATCACTTACCGTATGCAGCAATTACAGAACCATTGTCCATATTCCTTAGACAAACAAAATTTGCTACATACACTCAAAGAACGGCTAAAGAGCTTTCTACTTTCAGAGATAGTTGAAGAAAAATGTACATTAGTACCAGGGAAAGAAATGAATCAGCAGATATTGAACACCAGACAGATAATTTAAAAAGCGAGGGAACACACCATACCAATCCTGCTTTATTTCGTACATTACACTCAGGTTTTTCGATTCGGTAAAGTGGGTTTCCCCCTTGAGTGGAATGGAAAATATAAAAGTACGTAAACACCTAGTTAACAGTTAATATAATAAGAAATCTATATGGTAAAAACTCAGCCAAAGGTAAAATACACGGAATATATGCAAATGCGTTTAAAATTAAGAAAAGAACTAGACTGGGCTGCTTACTATCACAATTATTATAAAACATATATTCTGAATAAGAATGATAATGAGATAATGAGAAAACTACTAGACGAATGGAATGAAAGAATCCCTATGGGAGGCATAAAAATCAGTAACCTGCGATAAGGAGATGACACACTTAACATACTACGTACTAATACATATTAGCAGCGAATAAAGTCGAAATATGTAACAATAAAACACTGAAAACTTTGTTTTCAAACTTCCACAAAATTTATTTTAAATCTTATCACTACAACTGTTTCGGCTGATTGCCTTTCTCAAGTGATCTATTTTTGGCTTGGGTTTACAAATTTATAGTCTCTAATAAAATAGGTTGAGGAGGGCAGAACTGTTTGTCTCAAGTTGGTCATTCAGAATTATATCTGTGTTTTTTAATTTGCTGATTTCCATAGATTCTAACAAAGATAGCTTAAGGCCTTTATTTTGAATGTGAAGAATTTTAAATTTGTCATTAAAAGAATGATTATGATCTAGAAGGTGAAGTATTCCTTTCTTTTTTATGTGTTTGGCAATTTTTGTTGTTATTTTGCCTGTATATGTAATCGAGCAGAAGGTACTGGGTTTTTTCTCTGGTGGTGGAAATACTAATTTTAGGGCTTTCTTGTGTAGTTTTTGATTTAACATTTTATTAATTGTTTGTTCGTTGTATCCGTTGTTTACTGCTATTTGCTTAATTATATTTAATTCTGTATCAAAGTTGTATTTTGACATAGGAATTTCTGTTAATCTATGTAACATACTATGATAAGCTGTCAGTTTATGTTGTATTGGATGAGATGATGAATTGTGTATAGTCGTGTCAGTATGGGTAGGTTTATGAAATATGGAGAAGTCATGTTTGTTTTAAAGTCTGCTAATTTTTAAATCTAAAAAATTTATGGATTGATTTTGTTCTGTTTCTATTGTAAATTCAATATGACTGTGAAGTGAATTAATATACTATAAAAATTGGTCGAGTTGCCTCTTAGTTCATGTGAAACATACCAGTACGTCGTTTACGTATCTCCACCAATATAAAAACTGTTTGAATATGGGATGTTTTGAAATCTTTGTCTCTAGATGATCCATAAAAATATCTGATAGCAATGGGCTTAGAGAATTACCCATTATAAGTCCTGCACTGTTATTTGTATATATTTTATTATTAAATTCAAAGTAGTCCTGGTTTATGCAAACTTCAAGAAGATGTAAAATTTCAGATGTAATTATTGCATTTGTACTATTTTGGTCTAAAAGGTTTTTTACTAGAATAAAAGTTTCTGTAGGTGGGATACTAGGAAAAAGATTTTTTACGTCAAATGAAATTAATCTGGAGTTATTAGGTACTTGAAAATGGTTTTTAGGTGAAAATTTAGTGTGTTCTAAAATAATCTCTAACAGTTTTTTTGAAATTTTATATGACGGAGCTGTATAAAAAAAACTACAAGTCTTATTGGGTGATCCGGTTTGTGTAGTTTAATGAAAGAGTATAATTTAGGAGGCTGTGGGTTCATGATATTGAGGTATTTCTGTTCTATTGGATTTAGTATTGATTTTGAATTTTATAACGCTAGCTTAATTTGTTTTTGATATTTTTCTGTCGGATCTTTGTGTAAAGTTTCAATATTTTGATTATTTAAGAATTCTATTGTTTTGTTATTATATTCTATTTTATCTATAGCAATAGTAGTGTTACCTTTGTCTGCTTTTGTAAACACAATGTTGTTTTCTATTGATTTATTTTTAATTGAAATTGCTGTTTTATTCTCTTTGTAACAGGAATTCTTAGTTTCACTACACACATCTGTAATAGATTTGGCAATACTTTTTTCGATATTGTTAGCAGTTTTGTTTAACGCTACTTCACATTCTACACCTAAATATTCTAAAATTCTCTCATTATTATGTTGGGGCAAGTTGTGTTTAAATCCTTTCTGTAAAAGTTGTATCTTGCTGTTACTAAATTTAGTATCTGTTAAATTTATAAATCTATTGAAAAAAGTATGGTTCGAAAAACTTTTTGTATAATGAATATTGGATTTTTTACTATTGGAAATTAGATTATTTAGTTTTTTACACTGTGTATTGAATTTTTTATCTATTATATTATCTATATTAATTCTCACGTTAGAATCTAGGATGTCAAATTCTATATTATTTAATCTATAATTTAATTCTGAATGACATACCTTAAGATAAACAGCTATAATATCTCGTTTCTTGTATTGGTATATCATCTGAAGGCAATCAGCCGAAACAGCTGTAGTGATAAGATTTAAAATAAATTTTGTGGAAGTTTGAAAACAAAATTTTCAGTGTTTTATTGTTACATAAAATGAATTTCCATCAACTAACGGTCGAATCCATCAATTATTTAAAAGTCGAAATAATTACCATCACCGAACTGTTCGCTTATCAGAGCAAAGCAGGATAAACGAAAAAATCGGATTTCAGATCAACACCGTGATAAAAATACCAGTCGTAATAATAATCTACTACATATACACATACACCAAGTGGCGAATTGCGAAGTAGTCGACAGATTTGTATACTTGAGCTTCCTGATATACAACAATGGCGATTGCTCCTCAGAAACCAAGATTAGACTAGCAACGGCCCGAACCGCAACAGCTAAATTAATTAAAATATGGAAAGATCGAACAATAATAAGAAAGACTAAGCTCAAGTTGGTCAATTTCCTTATTTTATGAGCTGCAATACGCATCCAAATCTTTGAAGTATATAACTATAGATGAATTCTACTAGTGTCCTGGACAAAATATATAACCAACCTTTCCACTCTGGAATACCGTCATATAAAAGAGGCTTTTAAAAAAAGGAAACCGAGCATACCTAAATTACTTCGGCCACATATCTATAAGAACCAAAACCATAGAACTACTGGTAGAAGAAAGAAAGTTTAAAGTCCGAAGACCAAGAGGAAAATGAAGACAAAATGAAAACTGGTGGGAAAATCCCCATATAAAGCCATCCATATGACACAGGATCGCAGCCAATGGAGACAGCAAGCTAACAGTATTTAGAGTGTAACCACGCCTTGACAAGAGCTCAAGGAATGAGAATGAGGAGGAGGAAGAGTATGGAAAAGTAAAAATAAGACATAAACATTTATCTAAATTTGCTTTTCGTTTTTTGTACTAAAACAAGCAGTAAATAATCCCGGAGAATTTGAGAGAACCATTCTTAAAGTGCGGTGCCAAAGTAATAATACAATATCTAAAAGCAATAAACTATTTATACAAAATTTAATTGTTACGCTAGTAAATTATTGTTAATACCGTTTCTTTTTTTGCTAATAGCCTTATAGGCTGATGCGAGTTTGTAATTAAGAAAAAAGTAAATAATTTGTAGTAAGGTTACTCTGAAATGAATTGATACTGACCTCGTTAAATATATATGCACTAGCAAACACTTGTAACAAATTATAAATTTGAATCGTTTTCTTCAGTTCATATGGTTTTTTGTCTTTCATATACCTGGGGCCTGCCTTTGTACAGAAATATACATAAGTGACTAATATGACTACAAGGTGACCAAGTTTTCCTGCTAGAAACCAATCCTTCGTTCTGGGATCTGAAACCAATATAATATATTTGTAATATAATCGTAATGTATATAATATATTTGTTACAAAATGTATTATAACAAATATGGTAACATTTTAATTTTTATTTTGATTGTGTAGTTCAAATGATTTAATATTAAAATGGCAATATACAGTGATGAGTGTCTTACCACCCGGCTTTTTAACGTAAGAGAGAGAAAACACAGTTATCTTGTGAAATAAAAAGAGATAAACTCGTAGAGGTGGGAAATAATCGATAGAAACCTATAAATTACATTACATTACAATTACTACTATCGATAGTCTCACAGCTTTAGACGCTAGCTTCGAGCTAACTATAAAGTTGCTTTAAAATCCGGCAAAATAGTAGAAAGGATACAAGACAGATTAAGTTGTAAGATAGTACGAGATAAAGCTAGTTCTTAGACGTGGCTATTTGACTTCCGTCATAATTATACGGATGACCTCTAAAATTTTTATTTTAATAATTTCTGATGTTAGAATAAATGATTGAATAAATTAAGATATATTATAGTAAAAAACATGAATTAGTAGCGATTTTAAATTATAAATCTTTAAGTTTATTTAATAATAAAAATAACTCAACTGAAATATTTGACTAAACTAAAGGTAGGTATGTTCTGTTCCACTGACCCTTTTAGCTAAGAAACCGTTGACTGCGGAGTAGTACTACTCCAACTGCTAAGTCAAGTCAGACAGGAAAAGTGGATTGAGACCCTGGAAAAAATGGACATGACACATAGTAGCAAAATAGCATGGAACCTTGTAAAAAACTCAGCGGCGATCCAAAAGAACATAAACCACCTTGCAAGGTTATAGCAAACCAAGTCGCTACTCAACTCCTTACGAATGGAAGAACTGCTAACCGATATAAGGACCCAAACACTAGGAAAAGATTATATTCGGAGACAAACCACCTAGGAACTCCTTTTACACTAAAAGAACTCCACGACGGTTTGAACAGGTTAAAAAACGGGAAAGCTGCAGGTGTGGATGATATATGCAGTGAACAAATAAAGCATTTAAGCCAAGGAGCAAAAAACTGTATCTTGCAATTTTATAACACGTGCTGTAAAACCTGCAAAATTCCAAAATCATGGAGGAAATCTAAAGTAATAGCCTTGTTAAAACCAGGAAAGGATCCAGAAGACCCCAGTAGCTACAGACCCATTTCGCTATTGTGTCACTTTTTTAAACTATACGAGAGACTCATACTCGCCAGAATAGAAAAAAATGTCGACAAGCACCTCATCCCACAACAAAGAGGATTCAGATCTGGCAAATCTTGCACCGGTCAAGTCCTCGCATTAACAGAACACATTGAAGAGGGCTTTGAAGAAAACCTTATAACAGGGGCTGCTTTTGTAGATCTGAGAGCAGCCTATGACACAGTAAGGAACAAAACACTGCTCCGCAAATTATACGACACTCTCAATGACCACCATCTGGGAAAGGTCGTATATTCCTTACTGCAAAATAGACGTTTTTTCGTTATGGTGGAGGGTAAAGTAAGTAGGCGGAGAGTTCAAAAAAACGGCCTCCCACAGGGAAGTGTTTTAGCACCAATGCTCTTCAATATATACACAAACGACCAACCTACTCCGACCGAAACCAAGCACTTCCTCTATGCTGACGATCTTGCAATATGTGCTCAAGGAAATAGTTTTAAAGAAGTGGAGGAGAAACTCGAAACTGCCTTAAAAACAATGACAGCATACTACCTGCAGAATTCTCTGAGACCCAATCCCTCTAAAACCCAAGTCGGCGCTTTCCACCTTCGCACAAAGAAAGCCAAGCGAAAACTCCAAATTGTGTGGAATGGTAATGCATTAGAACACACAAACTAACCTATATATCTTGGAGTAACTCTGGACCGGTCCCTCACCTACAGACAACATTGCATAAAAACAAGAGGGAAAGTAACAACTAGGAACAGCATACTCAGAAAGCTAACGGGAAGTAAATGGGGCGCACGTCCTGGCGTTTTAAGAACAACGGCATAGGCACTGTGTTTCTCAACTGCTGAATATGCGAGCCCCGTTTGGAGCAGATCTGCCCACACCAAACAAGTTGATACTGCGCTAAATGAGACGTGCAGGATAGTAACGGGGTGTATGAAACCAACGCCACTTTGAAATCTATATAGAGCAGCGGGTTTTGCAGAACCCTCAACACGCAGAGGCGCTGCAGAACACATAGAGAAAATTAAACAGATCGCGGACGATCGGCATGCCCTATACAAAGCTCGAACACCACGAAAGCGACTAAAATCTAGGAAACGCTTCCTTGGAACAGTGCAGGATGAACCGCCTGAGTATTTTCCACTTCCCCAGGTTCAATAGACCGGCCAGACCCTAGACTTTAAAACGTGGAAAACCTTGAATAGGATAAGAACGGGGGTTGCTACAGTAAAATCAAACATGGCAAAATGGGGAAAAATAGACCAAGATGATGTGAACTGTGACTGTGGAGAAACACAGAATATGGAACATCTTCTTACATGCAAAAACTGTCCTCATCGATATACCCTTCAAGATTTGTGGCTCGCCAACAAAGATGGAACCGACGTAGCCCGATACTGGGCCGAAATTTTATTAATGACATGTCCGGACGCGATAAAGAAAGAAAGAAGTCTGTTTGAAAACAATTATTGTATGTGGAATTGATGTAATAGTTAGAAACATGGTCTATTGACAAGAACATTGGGGTTCAATGCACACCAAGGATAACATTTTTGTTTTACTCAATCAAAAAATAATAGAAAATATGATACATATTAGGTAACGAGTCTTCGAAAAACTCATTATTTACAATTTATTCTTATTCCAATATTATAAAATAAAAATACAAAATAATTCAAATTCAATTCCAGTTTTACAGTCTCCAGAAGTGAATGCAAAATAATCCGGTGAAGACTGTTTATGTCACAATCCATCACTAAATTCTCAGTGTTAATGGTGGTGTTAATGTCAATTGCTCTGTACAGGTAATGATTTTCAAAATAATTGACAACATTGGAATGGATGCGCGTGAACAGCTGCCTGCTTTACAGCTAACCAAATCATTAAACCTTGAAGCCATGATACTATGAACTAAAGATAAACCCACGCGCACGCGATCAGTCCATCTCTTTTGCACGTGTGACGTCACTTGCGAACAAATATCATCAGAAATGTTCAGTTTTGCATGGAGTTTTGTCAGATTTAGTATTGTTTTATCGTTTGTCTAGCACGTTGACAAATAAATGTGTGCACTTTATATAAAATATATTTCAGAATATTAAATTAAAGATAAACTTTTATCGCCAAGTGACGTCATGCGCATCGACATACAAAATTCGATTGTGAAGTGGTTTTATCTTGGAAGTCACAGTATCATGCCTTCAAGCCATCAAATAATAACATATCGATAAGTGTTTTTGCACGGTAAACAGAAACTTTTTATTGAAAAAACAATTCGTGAAAATGGTTTTAACGGTCGAGGAAACAGTGCAAATTGTTGTCTGGCAGGTGAATGGATTATCAGACAACATGATTAGGCAACAATTTGTAAATATGTTTTTAAATAGGCCGGCTTCAGCACGATCAACAATTCAGTCTATTATACGTATTTTTTTTTACTTGTGGATCCGTGTTCGCTCCAAGAGGAGTTCGTAGACGAAGGGAGATAAATCCATATTTGGAACTAAGAGACACTTTGATTTGTGCAAGTATTAAGTAAAATCCTACCCAATCAACATCTCGTCTCGGAAAACAATATGGAATTTCAAGATTTAGAGTAGGTAAAATTTTGAAAAGACATGAATACCGTCCCTATAAACTTCATAAATCCAACGAACAATTCCCTGGAGATCAATACAGACGTTTAGAATTTTGTCAAACTGCAATGGAAACATCACATCAAGATGAACATTTTTTAGAGAACGTTTTGTTCACCGATAAATGTACGTTTTCATTGCATGACCGTCATAATTCAATGAATGCTCGGTGTTGGTCTCGAGGAAATCTTCGTCAGATTTATGTCGCTCGTACCCAGCGTCCTCGAAAAGTAAATGTTTAAGGAGGCATAATAGGGAATCATGTCATTGGTCCATTTTTATAGACGGTATGTTGACTGGGCGGAAATACTTCGAACTTCTGCAAAATCCCAGCGCTTCGTAATTTACCAATACCTTTCGATTTCATATGGTTTCAACACGATGGTTGTCCTGCACATAATTCTCGCATCATCAGTGAATATCTCAGTGCGACTTTTCCTAATCGATCGATAAGATATTTATGTTTAACTTTAAACACTTCTAATACTAGTAACGACTGACATAAATGTTTAGTGATTCAAAGCAAAACGATCTCTGCCTAATTTCAAATTATTAAAAAAAAAAGAAAACATGTGGGTTTTGAACTCTAATCGTCTGCAGCGTCTGCGTCGCAGTGTCGAATTCTTACCACTTATCAACGAAGGATTGATAATTATTCCGTGACAAGAGTGTATGAAACTCCTCCAATCATAGTAGAAATTATTCTCGGTTAATAATTTAAAACTTTAGATTAAATAATCACTATTACTTAAATTATTTTATTCACATTTTTTGCTTTATTGTGGTCAATCAGTTTTTTACCGTATTCGAAATTAAAAAATTGAAATACGTCACACATACGGCGTCACACATAATAATTATGACCGAGGTGATTTAGCTCGAAGCTTACGGCTAAAGGTGTGAGACCATCGATAATGGTAATGTAATGTAATGTAATGTAATGTAATGTAATGTAATGTAAATTATAGGTTTCTATCAATTATTTCCCACCTCTACGAGTTTGATCTCTTTTTATTTCACAAGATAACTGTGTTTTCTATCTCTTACGTTAAAAAGCCGGTTGGTAAGACACTCATCACTGTATATACAAATAGTATAATCTTATATAATACTATAATAATAACTATAATCTAAAGGAAATATAAAATTGTCTACCAATAATACTATGGC